CTGCTTTATTTTTTCCTACAAAATACGCGTTTGTAGCGGATTCCCGTGTTTTCGTCCGCGATATCAGTTTCCGTGACAAAAAAGATTGTAGCGGATTTCCGGATCTTTATTGCACCATGAAACTTGAATCTGCTGCGTCCGCGATCTGCGGTATCCGTTCCCGTGAGATGCGAGTTCTCGGTGGGTTTCCGCAGGCCCTTCGCACCGTCAAACGCAAATCTGCCGCGTCCGCAGCTTGTGGTATCCTTTCCCGTGACACAGGAGTTCGTAGCGAAATCTTGCGCGTTTATCACATCGTGAAATGCAAATGTGCAGTGTTTGCAATCTACAGTCAGTTCCTGCGTCACATTGTGTGTAGCCGGTGCCAGGGTGTTTATCAATAATTTTTTATAAAGTTTTGCTGTGACAACTTTAAGGCAGACCACCCCATGTTTTTCACCATTTACCTCTTCATTTTGGGCGGGCGTTCTTTCAGAACTTTACGGTAGTCGCACCAAATTCCTCCTGGTCATTGTACAGAATGTGAGCTTGTGTATACTGATGACAAGTATATTTTGCACTACACCTTGCTTCTCAGTTACAACTACTGACAAAACATAAATACAACCAAGATAACCCAACCGTTTTTTTGGCATGATTTGTTTTTTTTTTAAACACCAAAGGATAGCTTATTTTTAAAAATTGCAGGGCCCTGATCAATGGTGACCTTGGCGGAAATGGTGTTACTTAGCCACGGCGGGAGATGGTCGAACATTACTGACTGAGAACAACAGTCGAATTTGGTTCATCGCCCCTTCCTGTGATCACAAGTTTCACAGGTCACAAAACCTGAAACTATCACTTTTCAAAGTTTTTTTTTTTGTATACCGAAAGTTTATTTATTGTATTTTCCTGACCAGTATAGTCCGCACACTACACCTACATGTTTAAAAAGTTCAAATTTGACCCGGTGCGGACTATCTAAAAGTTTTCCTGGATCGTTCACTGTGACGAGACGCGAAGGATTCTATGAGTAATAGAGTATATTAATAGTGATTTCAGTATGATATCAAGCTTCTTTGTGAGCTAATACAGCAGACACTTGTCAATGTGCCCTCTGTATAATATTTTTTATGTTTGCATTAGGCACTCAGTGCGGACTATGCGCCGCGTGCGGACTATGCACTGGGTGCAGACTATTTAAGTAAAAACTTTCATTTTTGATCCCAAATTCGCCCTTGCGGACTATGCACCGTTTGCGGACTATAGTCCTGAAAATACGGAACTTCTTATTTTCGCCTTATTTGCTTTCAATTCAAGGTGGGCTATCTCTCGGGATATTAGGGTAGTGAATTTTGAGTTGAAAGCGAATTCGAAGAAAATAGTGGTTTTGGTCAAATAATTTAGAATCAAATATCCAATAGTTTCTAAAAGCCTTTCGCTACCATGCACCATGCTTAAACAAAATTCAGCTAACGTCGTGAAGGATGTTCCAAACAATAAACTTGTCAACTTCTAAGCTAAGTTAATTCTTGTTTAACTACATGACCTGTGGCATGTAAACGACAGATTTGTCGCAGCTGTGCTAATCAAGAGGACTTATGAATATGCTTGCTATATGCGAATATTATTTCTTCCATTTCAAACTTGACAAAAAAAAAACAAGCACGAATGACAAACGCGGGCCAACAAGACATTGCTGCCTAACATGCTCTTGCATAATTGCGGCGGGTTGTCCCCGTTGAGTGTGCTTTTCACAGAGCGCCTGTGCACTGCAGGGAAGCCATACATGCTTCCTCGTAGTGAGAAGCGCGCTCAACGGGGCTAACCAGCCATGATAAGCTCTTTGAAAAGTATGAACATTGCAATTCACTTTGAAGCGAACATTGAATAGCGTATTAATGTGAAAGCATTAAATGGCTCATGAAGCGATCCAGCATTATCCGAGCTTGAAGCCGGCGTTATCGTTGTCTGTAGCAGCGATAAACGGCACCTAAATCCTCTTGAGTGAAACGGGACCTAAATTTCCATTGTCTGCGACGCTTCGTGTGGCTCCATAGCAACGGCGCCATCGTTGCTAAGGAGCCAGCCAAACTGCTGGCGGCAAAGCGCAAAGACTAAAACAAAAAAGTAAAAAATTTCTCACAGAAGTTCTTGTAAACAAAGTAAATTAATGGCCTTGAAAAGAAAATTTTGCACATTATGGTTTGCGTGGGAATCGAACCCGGGCCCCGGGGTGCGAGACGAGCACGCTTCCCCGACGCCACAGCAGCTCCACGGTTCCGGCTGACTAAAGCTGTGCCTAGTGCATGCGTCATGCTATCACATTCCCTCACGTAAGCGGTCTCAAGTGTCTCTACCAAATTTTTACAGTGGAGCTGTTCGGGGCTAGGTTCCCCAGGATCGTGTCCGCGTATGTCGACACAAACCTACCTGGACAGCTACCGCCATCTATAAGCGACAGCGGCAAGCACACAACCAGTATGGTATCCACCGTCGCTCGTAGATGGCGGCAACCTTTCCAGCTATAATAGAAGAATGGATAGCTGGGCGCGTTGGTGGGAATTCATCGTAGGAAACAGCGTGAAAAACAGACGACGACGACGAAGAAGCACACAGTGTATCGAGTACAGCTCTGCTGGTCTTCCTTCTTCACGAGAGTGGAAAGGCTGAACGTTTTATTAAAAGCTACTATTTGAACAGTTCAAATATTTGCACAACACTAATATTTACCGATTTTTAGGTATGAATACTGGAGAAAACAATCATTTCTGGTCATTCTGATGTGTCAACTTTAAAAAGTGAGCAGAATGGCTCACTTTGTTTGGCAGACAGCCTTCCACCAGACAGCTTTCCACAATATTTCCTTATTAAACACAGGTTCATGCAAAGGTAGCCTAGCTTCATACCTTAAGCTTGTATGGGCAATGTATTGGCTGGAAGCATTGGTTGACTACCAATCTGAACACACAAAAAAACCCTTAAAGGGCAACTCCGCTTCATTTTTATTTTTGAAAAAACAATGCAGTCCTCTACACAATCACTTAAAAAGGTTACACGCCAAATATTACGACGTAGTTCTGCCTAAATGTTTCTTAAACGGTCCGGCAAACTTTGCAACTCGTCAAGTTGCCGAAATCGACTGACTTGAGCGGGCGAATTGAGGCGCAACCAGCAGCACAGTCAAGGCCACGGCGTGGGTGAAGCCAACAACGTTTCCTCACGGGGCTCAACGGTGTCTATACTTCGTTTCAGCTTCGGTCCAGACGCAGCCGATGCTACAAGCGCGAGCATGTGGCCCAGAACAGTGCTTGCACTGCGCGAGCGCGCGTGCTTGGCAGGGATGCTGAAAGCCTGGAGCTCGCGCTTGTAGCTTTGGCTGCGTCTGGACCGAAGCTGAAACAAAGTATACGTGATTGTCGTAACACGCCTGCACAGCGCGCGTTTTGGGAGCCGTTTGGCAGCCCCGCTGTGGCCTTGCCGTCTTCCGCGTCACAACCGCCGTCATCGTCTCGCCGTTTGTGATTACTGTCTCTCGGAGTTTCGTTCACACTTCGGAGACCACGTGCGCAAACTAATGCCGAAGTTGTGCAGACGTTGACGAATGCCACAGACACCAAAACGTAATGGAGAGTGCGGTGCAGACGACACTTGCGCCTGGTATGCGCCTGCCCCAATCCCGCCCGTTGTTGCGTAGAGGATCCCCATACCACGTGACAGCCATGTTCTTGGCGGCCCGAGGCCAATGTTGCCAGACGGAGCCGAAGTTTCGGTTTCGATTTCTACTTGTGTTTAAAATTAGATTTAAAAATGTATATCACATTTTTTGAGAAGCAAATGACATAGTGTCTTTTAGTAGGGCTTTTTAATGTGAAATCACTCATTGGTACCGAAATGTTCGGAATTCAGCGGAGTTGTCTTTAACCATGTCCCTTTGTAATTTCCCTTCCCTGGTGAAGAGGCCTGGTCAACACCACCTAGAATAATTGAAGCCTGTGCAATCTGACGTAATCACAGAGAGATTGAGCAAGACGCAGATTGGTCATAAGTGCTGTATCAGTGTTCAGCAAGTCCTCATGTCCAATCAATGCGTCGAAGGATGCTCAACATTGGGCTCGTGTCCAATTGCAGAGTTTGCACCATCCAACTCTCATTCATTTTGTTATTTTTTGCGCTTCGCTTATGAACGGCAGCTGCCTGAGTAATGATGCACAGCCAATAACAAAAGTGCTAGTATACAGAAAAGAAATAACAAAAAGATACCCGTATAAAAGCTAAACTACACCCCCCCCTCCCCCCCAAAAGAAAAAGAAAGGACGCGCTCTACAGCAAGTTCAAAAGGAAAATATCTTGTTTATGAAGAACAGTAAATAATTCATTGTTAAATATTATTTAGAGAAGACCTAAAAATCTGAACACTTCAGTTAAAAATGTCAATGTTGGGTCTGTTGAAGGCATTAAAAAAAATGTTGAATGCCACTGACGTTCCACGGAGGAAGAGGAGGATGTTTGCAGGTCTTGATTATTCTAGGTGGTGTTGGCCTGGTTCCCTTCATCAGGGTTCCATGCATTCTCCCCTACAATATTTGGGAATAAAAACTGGCTCTGCTTAGCTCTGTTCTGCTTAGCTTAGTTGGGAATGATCATGTTCAGCATTCTTTTATTGGTTCAGTTAAACGACTTAAACTTGTTGTCAAAATGCTATCAGCAGGGCACAACAGTGGCTGGATAAGCAGAAAATGGTCATGCTAAAAATAGCCGAAGAAATACTGTAAATGACTTATTTTTCGTGAGCTCAATATTTCGCAATTCAGGTAGAAGCTGAAGTTTTTGAATAATTTGCGGGTTCTAATTTTCGCGACGCAGTTCGATCTAAATATAGATTTTAATATATTTACATTTTACCGGAATCGTTCGAGGGACCTATTTTCCGTAAATTGCAGGCAATTCGCAAAATTTGCGAAAATTAGATTTTTGCAAAAATTTAGTCGTTTACAGTAAACGGACACGACTAAACTCACCTCATGAGACTCTGCCGTCTGCGCAATAAATCCACCACCATGGAAGTGCAAAATGAGGCCATGGGAAGGTGGCAACACATTGCTTGAATTAATCAGGTTGCTGGGTAGAATTGATTGCTGCAAAAGAAAAAAAAGGTAAAAATATGGGGCTAATCTAACCTCTTGGAACCTAAAACAACTGGCTCTGACCTTCCAGAGATTCACACAAAATGAACTATTTTGTAAAACGACTTTTGTTTGGGCTAGTTGGTTCTTACTAGACATGATTAAAATAGCGCAAACTTGACAAGGACAAAGAAGGCACACGTACAACAGGACTGGTGCTTTGTCCTTGTCAAGTTTGCGCTATTTTAATCATGTCTAGTAAACTATTTTGTTTGTACAAAGCTCTATATTGTTATGGCTTAAAAGCTTTATTACGGCCATTTTGTTGCATTCCTTCCTAATAAGCACAAATAGCACAATATGAAAAAGTAGTATCGCATGACCTTTTCTTTTACTAAAATCTGGTTTTAACGAAGTTCTAGGCCAGGGGTGGCCAAGCTGCGGCTCTTCGCGTGTTACAGTGCGGCTCGCGACTCCCCTCCCCCCTTCCGCACCCCCCCCCCCCCCCCCCATTTTTTTTTTTTTTTTTTTGTAGCGGGTTTTAAATTTAAAGAGAGGCTGCGGTTTGGTAGTCTTGTGCTACTGCTACCTTACGTACAGATGGACTGCTTTTGAATCCGATAGATTGAACGTAGTTCAAGTTTCGTCTATAGCTCTACACAAAAATTTGACCCAACGCCCCCCCCCCCCCCCCCCCCCGCCCCCGAGGCTCTTGTAAGTTTTGTGGTTTTGTTTGCAGCTCTTAGGCCGGGTCAGCATGGCCACCCCTGTTCTAGACGATGCATTATGCTACACTGTTTGGTCAAGTAAACAGCAAGAGAATTTTCAAGCTACTAGTCATAATACGAAAATTTTAACCGTTCCTTATCCATGTATTTTTGAACTTCAGATCGATTAGCGGGGATTAGCAATAAAATGTAAACAGAAGACCATAATACGAGGACAAAACGGGAAGTAATGAGACAAGCACCAACTGACAAGATGTTAGTTGGTTCATCACAAATAAAATATAGGGTAGGTACTTGGGCTAGGTAATTCATTGTTGAAGATAAAACACTACGGTGTTTGTCATTCTTCTATTTGTCTGCCATTTTTAGTGATTTTATCCTCAATGATAAACTATATACAGTGAAACAAACTGTTCATATATGTCCCATCAGTCATGAACCAAGTCACCCATATCGCCACTCTGAATCACTGACTCTCCCACCATACACACATTACACCAATTTGTTTATTACAGCTGAAAGATTGAAGCGCACCAATTAGCAACACAATCAGTGGATGGGTAGAGGGCTCACCATTCCCTCTCTGACCGACGAAGAGAGGAAGCGGCAGTGAATGGGGCTCGCAGGGCCGTGCGAGAATGGAACAGGGATCTCCACTGTGACAGAGGGATCATGCGCCTTGGGCAAGGTGAGACATTCTGAAGGCACAACCACATCAATGCAGACCGGCAGTGAGGGTGAGACAAACTTGTTCACCTTCTGAAATACATATGAGATTAAAAAAGTGGCAAGAAGTTAGCTGCGTTTCCTTAATGGAAAAGACGCTACAGCAGAAACGTGAAATAGCCCGATTAAGTTCCCTTCGTGAGCCCGTTAATGATAAAGTCTCTGAATCCCCATTGGTACTTAAAGAAAAGCGGAAAAGGTTCTTGATGAAAAAAAAAAGAGAGGTTACTTCTAGCGAATTTTTGTCCCGTGAATCGGAATATCATGAGCATTTGACCCGAATGTCTCACTAGACGCAAGAAAAACTGGAAAACTAACCACTGGGTGCGACATCATATCCAGAGGTTTCAACTGCCTCGGGCATGCCGCTTGTGAATGGAAGCGTGCAGCGCTTTAGACTGCTCGGGTAAAGGTTGAACTCCATGGAGCGAATTATGCGACGAATAACTGACGAACGCCGCCCGACGGCACGCTCGCTTTGCGCTTGACGTAGCTGCTACCGTGCTGATGCCACGCGCAGAGCAAAAGTCACCGGGCAAAATTCGCCGATTTTTCGTTGCATATTCGTCCCATGGAGTTCAGCCTTAAGACTTGCGGAAGGCACAGAAATGTTGAGATCTCTGCATGATATGTGACGATTCCCTTATCCCATCTAAAGCGCTGTTGTAGCTATTTCGCGCATCAACTTGAAATATAATTTTGATATTCGTGATCCTGGAGATTTAATAAAAACAATTTAAATTCTTTTTCTCAAATACAAAACCACATCAGTTTCCCTTTAAAGGGAAGCTATGGAGGTTCTTGAAACAAATGAGTTAGAAGTGAAGTCTAGCGTATTTTTAACCCGTGAACCCGAATACCCAAACCATTTGCTGCGCAAGTATTGTTAAACGCGAGAAAATGCAAAAGACAGTCGCGGTGTGTGACATCATCGATGGATCTTTTGGCTGCCCAAGGCTAGGGAGGCAGGGCTTCAGCCCTATTTAGAAATTGCTCTTATGGCTCTCCGGCACGTCGCATTGAAACATAATTGTGATATCTGTTATTCTAAAATGAATGCAATGCAAGTGTTTTTTCTCAAATGCAGAACTGCCCTATCTTCCCTTTGAGACAAATATGACCTAAGAAACCAAATTTTCAAACTGCATCAGTTTCCCTTTAAACAACCACTGAAAAGAAAAAAAAGAATTTTTTTTAAACAGTTTGGTTCGGGCATGCATGTAAAAAATAAATTTTACGCAAAAAAAGATTTTTTTAGAGCAATATTGACGGCACAAGATTTATTTTAAATTCTGCACGCAAAGTCCATGACATCACGGAATGATCATACACCCTTTCCACCTCAACGAGATGGTCATACACTCTCTCCACCTCAATGCGATGGCCAATCCGATCCACCTCTCCTCCACGCGCTCGAAATACCGAGAGAAAAAACAAGTGGAAAGGAGGTGACTATCAACTAAATCGTGTCACGCGCTGTCAATGTCGCTCTAAAAAATATTTTTTTGCATAAAGTTTATTTGTTTTACACACATGTCCAAACCAGATTGTCTGAAAAAACATTGCTTTTTTTCTTTTCAGTGGCCCTCTTAAGGTTCTGTGCAACGATTTTAACGTTGCAAGAATTTGCATCGTCTACTTTTGACATTGTTTATCTTGTCACAAAGGACAGAAAACGCATCTCCTTCCTTCGAAATGTTGCGATTCCGCCGCCACGTAATCGCGAAGGAAAAATTAGAATATTTCCCGACCTGCAGCCGCGAGCAGCGGCAATGAGAACCATGCAGCATCACGTCAATGGGGACTTGTTAAAAAAAAGGAGTTGTGCAAATACCTGCTCAATGAAAGGCAATTTTTCTATACATTTTTTTGTTCCAACATAAATAAAAATGTGTCCAAAATCTGGTATCATTGACAAAACTTTTATTGTACGGAGTTTTAGTGGCCAAGGTCAACAAAACCGTCAGCTCTATCTGCTAAAACGAACAGTCGCCAGAAGCCGGAGGGGGACGGGGGCAGAGCGGGACGGGGATGGCCAGACTTGGACATTGGAACTTTCCTCCTTTCACTCGGACGTGTTCGCAAGCGGGTGAGTTCTCGCTGCTCACAGATGGCTCTAGAGAGAGAGCTTCACCGGAACTCCAAGCGTCCCCCATTCACGTCACAGCGCATGTGACTCAGAAGATGGTGAAGGAGTTGAGAGGTGCCAAAATCTTCGATCTTTGTCAATTTTTAAAATAAAAACGAGGACATGCAGGCAAAAGCGGTTTTTTGTTCTTTACTTCAGAAAGGTTGAGACACCAACTCCCAAATTATTTAAGCAGAGCACTGAAATCGTTGCACAGCTTCTTTAAGGACAAACATGACCTAATAAACAAATATTTTTCTTTAAAGGATTAATTTTTAGAAATGTTGTATGTAAGGCCTACAACATCTGAAGAGAGTCTCCAGAAAGTTTCCTTTGTTTGCTCAGCATAGTTATTTTGTTATTTGTCATTTTGGGTGCCCCAGTATCTAGCAGAGACCTGCTAGATACTGTAAAACCCTTTATTTTCGTGGCCCTTATTTTTCGCGAATCGGTCACAGAGGACATAAACGCGGCCACTAAATTTCGCAAATTCTCAGCGCCTACATTAAAACTCTCAAGGACAGAAATTTTTACGTGCCCTTAAATTTCGTAAATTCTTCAATTTGAGAGTTTTGCGACAATTAAGGGCTCGCAAACTGTAAGGGTTTTACAGTATGTTAAACACAATTTCCTCCGTTCCCTTTATTTTAGCATAAATTTAATTTTAGTCAATCTATCACTTCATAATGGGGCTACAAAAAAGGTTCATTCTTAGTTTTTCTTCACTGAATTTTTTTAGTAAATTCATCTTCTTTGCAATAGTTTTCTTTTACTTTATTTGTGTCCTTAATACAAATTTATTATTAACTTAACATCATTTCATAAAAAAACAACTATCAAAGATGCAGAAGGCTTAAAAGTTGTTTTATATTGCAGAAAAACAATATTTAGAAATAAATTACATTTTACGAATTTATTTTCACAATACAGCCATTCTGTTTTGTACGTGGCAAAGAAAAGAAGATGGCTTGACGCTTTTAAGAGTGCAGCCCTTAGGCGCCCATTTTCATGTTGAGTGGCGTCGCCGTCAATGTAACCGTGCATGTTGCATTATGGGACGTCACAGTTTCCCTGCTAAATTTAGCGGGGAAAATAAATTCGTGTTGAGGTCACGTGATGTCAATTTCCCCACTAAATTTAGCGGGGAAACTTAAATCGCTAAATTTCCCACTAAATGTGAGGCTGTGAGGAATTTCAACTAAATGTTGAGTGCATAAACAAAATAACTGAAATTTTCAGGTGGACACAAACTGTTGGAGTGAACACAAATGTTCTAAGCGGTAAAATCCATGTTAATTGTAGCAAAAAACGAAATCCGTAAGGTTTAATTCCACTTATCCCAAGAACATAAGCTGATGGTACCAACAAAACTTTAGGAATGTCTCTTTCACTGTGTTTAGAACATATGTGTATATTTCAGCAAACTGCTAAGCTAAGTATCTATGGTCCAATAGGGATAAAATTTTCTTCCATCTTCTCTTTGCACTGGTCGAAAAAAAAAAAAGCGAAGAAGTCGTTTGTGCTTTAACTTAAGGCAGTTAAGATAACCCACATTTGGCATAAGTGGCTGTATGTAGAGTCACAGAATGTTCCCAAAGTACCGAAACTCGCTAGCTTCGTTTTCAAACCAAGTTGTGGTGCAGCAGTCGCGCTCCAAACCAGCTCCAAAATGCTGCTTTGTGCAATCGAAGCGAAGCGCATACATTGTGGCATTTGCTTTCGGAGAGCTCTTGAATCCACTTTCCTGTTCTGAGGTGACACAGGTTTGTTTCTATTAAACTTCTTTACTTCGTTCCCAGTGGTGCGTGACTTGCTCCTCGCTGTCTCGTCTCTCTCTCCTTGAAACACATCGAAGTCGAATGTTAGGCTTAGCATCCGAGGCATAGAGTTTGAAACGCAGCACCAGCACAACCGGAGCAAGCAAATGAGCAGGAGATTGTCGTTGGTGAACCAGATTAGCAGCAACTTGATATTAAAAAAAATCTAGAGAAAATCAATGCACCTTCTGTTCGGTCCTAACTCATCGATGCTCAGAGCTCTCACCCGTGCATACCTGCCGCAGCCTTGGCAACGTGGAAATGTTTAATGTTTTTTGTTGTTTTGGGCCAGTCTCCAAAATTGCCGACTGATAACTTCCGCTGCAGACCAAACCAGCCAATCAGAACTGGACTGTGCGGGATTGACTTTCCAGGGGTGGAACTCGTGAAATGTGCCTGGGAGCAGCCACGGGAGCAGCTGAAACAGCTGTTATGGAGCAGGTTGGGAGCAGCTAAAACTACGTTCTGGAGCAGGCTAGGAGCAGCTCAGATCAGTTTTCATTGCACTTCAGCTTGCGTCTTAGACAAGCATGGGAGCAATTTCAATCGTACTTAGCAGAACAGATGAACATGAATGGTTAGGGACCTAGGTAGATGGGATAACAGCGTAACAGATGCGAAAGCTTGAAACTTTGTGAGCCTTAATGAGAATCAAAAAGCCAGTACCCTGTTTCTCAAGATAGCGTCCTTGATATTTTCCGAGCGGCTTTCAGCTGCTCAAAATGCAAACCAGCACTGCTTATCGCACAACCCACACGTGCTCGACATAGTAATTGTATGTGCGAACCCCGTGATGTGCACAAGCAATTGACGTGCAGTTGCACGGAGGAACAGGGCAACAAATTTCACGTTTATCCTATTGTGCAACTCGATTGCAAAGCAGTAGACTACGATTAACGAAGTTATCGCATTTGAAGCGATAAGCAGGAGCAAGGTTAAAGTACGCCGAGCAGATCTATCTCTCGCAAAAGAGCTGCTGGCCGGCAAGGTTTCGGATCGGACCGCGTTTCAGTTCAATCAAATCACGATTTATCTCGCGAGAATGCGGTTCCAACTTCTAACGACGAAGTACTAAAAGGAAAATCTTGCTCATTTGTTTTCAACTGGCTGACGTCCGGATCCCGGGCCGCAGAGCCTCAGGCAATCTGACGCTTAACGACTCGACCTCACCTCAGCCGACTTGCTTAACCGCTTATGGTTGAAGAATAACAATCCAGTCGCAGGTGGTGTGGCGCTTAGAATCCGAGTTTTTTCGCGCGCTTCCGACTCGGGATACACAGGTAGAATAAACAGAACAAAGGATTGCAAGGCCGACCAGGCTGAACGCGCTCATTGTTGCGAATCGAGTCAATAAAACCGAAACCAAGACAAAATAAAAAGTTTCTTGGCGCACGTTTTGCGATCTGGCGCATAATGGCGCGAGGTATTGGCTGTGGCGCAGTTTCTGCAACATGGCGCAGGATGGCGCAGACATATGCGTCTGGCGCAAAATGGCGCAAATGGCGCAGCCGTTCCACCCCTGCTTTCTGTAAGCGGACTGAATGGAATTTGGTACTTTGAGAACATTCAGTGACTCTAGCCGTATGTATGGGGGGCTAACCAGGGACATGCTGGGTTATCCTGCTTACCTGTTTGGCCAGGAGGAAAGGAAAGAAAGGGAAAGGTTTTGCAGGTCAGCCCTCAAAGATGCACAAGTTAAGATGACAGTACTTCTCGAGTGTGTCTATGCACGCAGTTCATGCAAGCAATTCATACACACACAGATTGCAATGTTCAATGCATTGCTTCTTGCAATGCACTTCACATTGTCAAATGCAATGTCAAAACACTAACCTTAAAAATAGCCTGTTCGTTGATCGACCACATGGCCTTGAGGAAGTCTGTATGTACGTTCTTTCGCATTTCCACCATCTGTTTGGACCTCAGCTCGGGGTCCATGCTGTACTTGCCGAATCCCCAGAGCAGTGACGTGGTGTCGCCGAAACCTCTGCCCGTCTGGTAGTAATAGTCCCGGTATGCCGAAAGGACAGCATGACCCTTCTTCAAGGTGCGCCTCATTGGATCACAGTACTGGTAAAGAGAGAAAAAAAAGAGTCCTTAGGATTTGATGCTTAACAGGTGGACAATACATTGTCTTTCTGCTCAGAGTTCTTGGATATGTCAATGGTAAATGGAGTAAATGGGGTATATGGAGTAAAGCCAGAGCATAAAATGCAATGTGTGTCAAAATGCTCACTGAAACTGAATTGAAGTTTATTTCTTTCTGAACAACCGAAAGGAGGACCTAGACTAAAGGCAAAAATGCCTGACAAAGGGCTCTGTCCCTTTGCAGTTTGTACACCCAGTATGTAACAAACAAGTGAAACATTAAGATCGACTATACATACATAGTTAAACAAAACGGAGATGATATTCAGTCTTTATACTAATCAAAAATTTACAATAGAAAAAGGTGACTAAAAATAGATGTCATCACCCATCATAAATGCCTGTAACTCTTTTTTAAAATTTAAAACAAGATTTGTTAAAATCTACAAAGGTTCTGATAAATATTTGAGTCACCTGGTAGTTTGCCTCCCATAGTTCGTATGAATTTCTGGAAGCCGTTGTAAGGAGTGCCTAAAGTTGTAGTTTGCATTAAATCACATGATTTTATATCATACAGCTTCCCTTTGTGAATGACTTGCATTAGCTTGAAATCATAAATCTGCTTAGCTTTTGAGTATTCTGTTTTGTGGAAAGAGGCTTGGTGGGCAGGTCTTGTATATTTCCCAAGTAATTTTCAAATATCCACAAAAATTTTCTTCTGTAAAGTGATAATCTTGTTGTAATTTGTTAGAGATGCAGTTTTCCACACTAAAAAAACAGTAGCATAACTTTGAGAAGAAAAAAGAGTAATATGTAAAATACTGGGCAAGCGCCCACTCAAAATTTAGAGATAATCGCAAAAAAATGGGGGTGGGCGCTTGTCCGGTCATCAATTTTACATCAATGTACTGTGCATATTTTCTCAGATCTTATAAATTTGGGAGTGGGTGCTTAATGTGGAATAGGCAGATGTGCAGTATTCTACGGTATATCTTTTTTTAACCATTTAGGAATTCCCATAAAATACTGGGGAAGCACCCACCCCGCTTTCACTGAAAACTGGGTTAATATGGGCCATGTGCGCTTGTCCAATCAGATCGGGCATTTAACATATAATTTTCAGAATTTCCAAGTTTGGGAAATGTTAATAGTGGGTGCTTGAACGCAGTGGGCATTTGTGCAGTATTTTACGGTAGGTTTCTTTTTTTATACAAAGAACCAACTGCCTGAGGAAGCTCGGAGCTCAACTTATTTACACACAGAATCCAACCGAGCTTCTGGTTAAACCAGGCACCTGAAAAATTTTGTTTGTGGGCTTGCTCTAGTATTGTAATTTCAGAATATAAAGTTATGGAATTATCATACAGTTTATCATTGCAAAAAAATTTTACCTATTTTTTATTTTTGGTATTTAGATGCAGGTATGATTTTAGAATCCAGATGCAGTTAGTATTTTGCCAGTGACTTTAGTGTTGCTTTAGAAGCAGAGGTGAAAAATGCATACATAATAATTTCTGGGATCTTGGAATACTTGTGATGTCATTTATGTAAAGAAAAAACAACAAAGGGACTAAAATAGAGCACCATGGCACACCTTGTTTTACTTTGTAGGTAATATTTTATAAAAGCCAGAGCTAGTCCACGTGTAGTGTACCGTTGAAGCTTATTTAATAGTATACTATGCTGGATATTGTCAAACACTTTTTTAAAGTCTAAAAAAGTTCCTAGTGCATGAAGTTTATTTTCAATGCTGCCTATTATTTTGTCATTTGTCTCAAGAGGTGCCTGCTCCGGGAGTCAAAATGCAAATGTATATTTTAGGGTCAGCTAGATTTTTTTTTTTCTCTTTTTTTTTTTTGGGGGGGGGGGCAGGAGGGAGGGGGAGCAGGAGAAAGGGGACGGGGATTAAACCTCCATGAGCCACTCCCCTGGCTACACCACTGGCTTGAGTCCGACTTTTTTTTCCTTTTGCATTGTTTGCGCCGCCGCCATCTTGGTTGCTCAGGGTTCACTCTATTTGATCCACATAGTTCCGGCATGACACTGCAGTGGCGGCGAGCATTCTTTGTAGAGGGTGTCGTAACAAAATAAAAACAAAACGGAAAAACAAAAAAAGTTGCATTTTTAGGCGGAACGAAAACATAATTGAAACATTATTTAATATTTTGTTCTGAAGTGAACCGAAAACTTTTCTAACAACAGTTTTTGGTTCAAGCGGAAAGTTTAGGTATTTCCGTATATTCTGGTCCCAAAAAAAACCAGAAGATGCCCTTGAAGTGTTTCTCAAGAAAAAGAAGTTAAGGCTGGTGTGCACCCTCGATTGACAGGTGAGCTAGGCCCACTGGACATAGTATGCTTGCTCAAAAAGCTGGATAAGGAGCCACACATTCCAAGAACAATCAATGTATTGATATTTTTTGGGAAGAACAAAAGGAATGCAGTGATGCGATTGGCCTAAGCCTTTTTGGAGCACCTCTTGGAGCAGCCAAAACAGTGTTTCGGAGCAGCAAAAGTGGCTTTTAAAACAAAAATGCCTATAAAAATTTTGTTTTAAGAGTTGGACAAACGAAGGGCACTTTGAGCTGTGTTGTGAAGGAACTCGCTTTTTGTGTTTTTACTGCTGAGACGTCCCACAAGTGTACAGTGTTGTAGGCGTTGCCGAACAATTTCGAAAAGAACGCTTGCCACCGTTTTACTGGTTCCCGACGTGCCAGATATTCGTCAAAACAATGAATTGCAAGAGTCCCGGCTGGAGCCTCTGTCGTGCAATCATGTTCACATGCACGTGAGGGCAACATCAGCAGGCTTGCAGTGGTACGTGCTTCGTCGCGCAAGCGGAGACAACGGCTGTTCAATCGCAATCGGAACAATGCCGCTCTGCTCTGTCGCCAACTGGTTCCGAAAATAGTATGCAAAATGTAATTGTCCAGCATACGACAAAACAACAGTCCAGCGGCGCGTGCTTGCCAAACTGGCAGGTGAGGTACAAGCTAAACACACAGAAAAAAAGAACCTGAGCACATCGATGCATGACATCGCAAGCCAGGGTAAAAGATTTCTTGGAGCGCTTTGTGCAACGATTGAACTCGAGACAAACAAGCGCAATGTGCGGGTTTAGTGTGCAGACATTGCCTTCTTTGCTTTAGCTCACTTCTCTTCATCAACTTTCTTTTGAGCAAATTTTTTCACGTACCGGTGTCCCTCTTGAAAGAAAACCCACCGAGAGAAACCTAGGTAATAATTATTTCGACAAGCAGTTTTTGAATTAAAGGGACACTTCAACGAAATTTGAAAAACACCCGTCGTGTTCAGGAATAGGTTGAATATGATCCACAATATCCGTAAATGATAATTGCACGTTTGTATTTAAAGCCTGATCGCTGTATTTTTGGTTATAAACGGCCCACTCTGGCAAGCGCTCGGAGAGCAGCCAGCGGAGAGCACGTAGCGGAGAACAAGACGAACTACGTCAGGATTGACGTAGTTCGTCTTGTTCCAAGACGAACTACGTCAATCCTGACGTAGTTCGTCTTGGAACAAGCAAAGCTTTGGCAAGGCTGATGTCAAGAAGATGTACTAACGGTTCCGGCCACCAAAGCGGCTGCTTTTGTACGAATTTCGAGTGACGGGTTAATCTTCCCCTTTTCTCTCGTTGTGGCCGGAGGCGAGACAGTTATCGTCACTACCTGTCAAAGTTCCTAGATGGACATTACAAACGAGGCAATAACGACAACCATCAGGCGCCCTTTGCTAACCATTTAATTCGTCTTAAATTTCTTTTCGTGCCTTTTTCAACAAGAGGTTGATGTGTCTGATGTGATAGTGCTCCCTTGAACACGAATAAACCAAGAGATTAACCGGCGAAATTTTGTCGTAGTATCCCTTTAAACGGGGATTTTTGTAGTAGAGCTTGATTTAAACAAGGACACAAATGTCTATGATCAAGTTTAGAAATCACCATATCTGCAGTGTTGTGGGGTCAGCAACACCCGACGTCGCGCGACCAGCGTTTCAGCTCACAAAGCAACTCTTGCCGCGCAAAAACGGGGTTTTGTTTCGCAGCATGACGGCATGTCTGGCACCCGGCACACTAGCGTCGGAGCGTCCGCACACGCCCGCATCTATCGTTGAAAAAGTTTAAAAAAGATGCGAGACGAGATTCCCGAGACGACGAAGTGCGAAACGCGAGACGGCGGCAAAAGCCATGCAAGACCGGATGGATGCAGGGTACTTTGTGTCGGGTGGCCGCTTGCGCCACCTAGCTCACACATGCTCAATTACGTTCTTAGTTAAGTTTCAGTTTTGAAAGGCGACCGAAATTGGTCATTGGGCGCAGGCTTGGCGCAGATTACCCATATTTTGGCAAAATGTAGCAGGATGTAGCAGGGTTAGCCCCTTGGCGCAGTTTGGCGCAATTGGCGCAGCAATCACATCACTGGGAATGCCAATCAGAACGCTTTAGCGCAAGTAGCCTTGGTGTACCATACACATAGGTCAGCGTGGGGAGGGCATTCTCAGCGTTCAAGTTTATTTTAGCAGAACAGGGCTCTCGCATTTCACCGAGTGCACTTGCTGATGTGTTGCTTCTGAGATCATGCTCAGTACCTTGGGCCATTCCTCCTCACGGTACTTTTCACCCCGATTCCTTCATTTTCTATTGTGGCGAAAAGAGTGCACTTGTTAGAATTTTCTAATGACCTACCTTTTGATAAACATAAGCATTTTGTTTTCTTCCTTAATTTTTGTTTTGAATTTTCTTCGCATGCAAATACAGATCATTACGGACCACCACGGAATGATGACGGACAGCAAATTTTTCGTTCCAGAGCGGAACCGGAACAGAACTTTTTTTATGGAACGAAAGTGAACCCAAAACAAAAAGCATTTCGTTCTGACACCCTGGTTTGTAAGGGTCATTGAGGGCTCCGCAGATGTATACGTTGCCTGTCAGTTTATCATGAAGCAGAAGTTTGCTACATAGC